GTGCATCCCGATGTTCACACCACACCTCCTCCTATCGCGTGAGACGCGTTTGGATTGTTTGTATCGGTTAAAAACATTTGGGTGTGCTCGGTGTTCACACCATCCTTTTTCTCCTTTAGCGTACAACGCGTTAGAACCTCGGTTGAGACCTCAGGTGCGCCTGTTGGCTATGTCGCTTTTCGCCTTTCCTGCGTGTCGCATAGCTAGCTTTAATTTTCTTACATCCTTTCTGCATGAAATGTAGTTTGGCTCGTGATTCTCATGCGCGGAGTGTTCATTTATTTATTTTTTTTCATGTTTGGAATCACTATACTGTGTTTCAGTTTGCTTAACTGTGGCATTTCTTTGCATACCATTTGCATTTAAATGTTTCATCGTACAACCTCATTGCATGTACATAAGTTATGTTCTTACATTATGCATATCATTTGCATCTTACCCCAGAACTACGCTGGTTTGATTCCTTGCAAAGGGATACGTAGGCAGCCTACGGGCGCAACCAAATATTGTTGTCTTGATTGTTTATCCAAGTCTTACAGCCTTGTCAAAATGGGTCGTCTCTGGGCTTTGATATTCACTCAAGTCATTTCATGACTCCAAGTTCTGTCAAAGAGGGGCAACTGTAGACACCCCATTTTTTATAGCTCTTCAAGACTTGGATGTTCTTCCAGGTACATCCGCTGTTGAGTCTGTTTGTTCACCGAGCGATCGAAGTCCTCAGCGGAACGCCACAACTTTAAGCCTTACAAACCCTACATCCATTTTCTCTTATTTTTGGACCATGCCTTGGTCTTTCCAACCTACAATTTCTGGTGGCCTGCCGGCCATCCTTGAAGGCTACTGGCCATGGCTTCTTTTCTGCCGGCCACTGATGTGCATTGCCTACCATCAATGATCCCTTGTCGGCCATCACTGATGGCCGGCCGACCACCAATGGTTTCTGCAGATATTTTGTGCCAGCTGTGCTAGCTGTTTGCACAGATTCTTGCATCTGTCCACGCATGGAGGGCTGGATCTCTTTGTATAGATTCATGTTTTCTATAAATAGGGACCCTCTCTCTCATGTTTGAGGGCGAGAAAATTTTAGACTAAAAAATTTTCCTCTCTCTACAAATTTTCTACAGTTTTGCCTACTTTCTCTACACTCTTGCCTAGACTTCCTTAACCAAATGCCCTCACCTTTGAACTGAGGTTCCTTGAAGTCTTGTTGGAGCTCTTGAGGTGGTTTTTGGCTTGAGTTGTTGTTTGGAATCACTCTTCTCTTTAAGAGGTATAATAGGGGACTTTTAAGCTTGCTTTGCATACTTGTTTTCCTATCTTTTTCCTATTGTTTTGGGGTGTTTCTGAGCTTTAAAAAACTCTATTTTTATGGGCTGAAATTGGTGTTTGGGCCATTTGATGTTAGGGGGTGCTTCATCCCTCTTTATTCCTTGTTGTTAAGCCCTTTTCACCTTTGTTTCCCATTTTAAAATCATCATTTTTTGGGCCTTTGAGCACTGATTTTCAAAGCTTTTTCAGTGGCAAAAATCAAGTTTCAAAGTCCAAATTTGGAGGGGTTAGCCTCCCTTCCTTGTGTTTTGTTTGCTAGCCTAGTTGGTGCCATGTGTTAGCTTATTTTTCAAGCTTGTTTTTGCTTAATTCCAGCATGCTTTTGTCTCTATTTTGGGCTATTTGGGTCAGTTGATTCTTATTTTGCATGCGTGTAGTGTAAAGGTCCTCACAAGAATGGTGTTTTAGGCCATTGGGCACCTCTTGTTTAAGTTGATTGCATGTTCTTGGTGATTTTCATGCCTAATTTCAGCATTAATCATCTCTGCAACCTCCCTCTTTCTTGGCTTTTAATTTTGCTTTGAAAGTGGTTTCAAGTTACTTGTTTGCCTAAGTGTGAAATTGAGGTTTCATACTTAATGGTTTAATCCTTTAGCAGGTTCATTACCAACGGTATGAGACTTCTTTCATACCAAAGTGACTTATGACTTGAGCTTTTCTTTCCATTAGACGACATTGACTCACCTTTCGAACTTAAGTGATTAAGTAATGGTTGGTAATTAAAATGGGTAAATAAAAGTGGCAACTAAAAGTGAGCCAAGATAAAATTTGCTCGTGTGTTATGTGTTCAATCGGACGTTAATTGAACGCATGGAATTTAGACCATTTCATACATGTTAGTGATGAAACGATCCAAGTCTCCAAGGTTAACTTCTCCCTTTGATCTTCCATGAAAAGGGGCAGGCTTGTGTCTCATTTTGCATTTATTGAATTTGCATCTCTTGAATCACAAGCCATCATGCAATGAAATTGTTTGAATTGGTGGTTTGTGACTTAAGTTCATCAATCCTTGCATTTTCCCATGAAAATAAGGGATGAGTTGTGCAAACAATCTGTGGGAATACCCTCTTTTTGCTCTGTTTGTACTCTGTTATAGCAAGACGAACCAGTGCATCAGTGGCCGGTAGGCCACCAATCATGGCCTGCAGGCCACCATCCATGGCCGGCAGAGCACCATTCATGGCTGACAGGCCACCATCCATGGCCGGCAGAGCACCATCTCTGGCCGGCAAGAGTCCGGTTGCATTCACCAGTGGCCGGCTTGCCACTGATGCAAACGTCAGCAAACTATTGGTAAGGTGGAATAGAATTATTTTGGAAGTGTTCAACTGTGCAAACAGAGACTTTCGAGAGCAGACAACCGGTGTTTTTTCAAGTGAAAACCGAGCATACATGGGTCCCCATCCGCTTCCTAGGATTACTTAACTAGCTAATTAGTTTGATTAGCGTTTAATTATTCATTTTTTGTAAATTAATTAGTTGTACCCAATTAGTTTGTGTTGTAATAATTAATTAGCTTAGAATAGTTAGTTAATTTATTTCAAGTGTTGAAATAATTAGCTAAGTAGTTAGCTAATTTCATTTGTGTTGTAATAATTAGCTTAATTAGCTTAGCCTAGTTAGCTAGTTAGCTTTTATTCATTCGGACTCTCCTTCGTGAGAGCATGTTGTAATAATGTGTATGTCTTCCAACCCCACGTCTTTCTCCCTTCTATTTATCCGCTTTTGATGGTTAGATTAGAGACATGTTTCAATTTCCATACTTTATGCTTGCATCCATTCATCTAGTCTTGCATGCACCGAGGCTCGGCGCATCATTCAAACTGCATTGTCATTTCAATACTTCTTTGAATACGTGCTTAGATCGTATGTTATTTCATTGACTCATATGTCATTTAGTAGCCAAGCCTATTAATTGCATTATTGCTTGTGTTGCATTAGGCATCCTGTATAGTTAGGAATCATGCATATTTTTCTAACTCTTTTGTTTATCTTAGCTTGGAGTACTAGGTGAGTTTTAATGCTTTAGCATACTTGCATCAATGTGAGTAACTACCATGACTAGCATGCTTACCATGAGGCTAAATGCTTACTTGCTAAACTGTTTGAATACCTGTGGATGAAGGCTTGTTGCTTGAATTAGAACGATTCAACGAATGTATGTTTAAGCCCACTATGTCTAGTGGCAAATTCACTATTTTAAGCCCACTTTGTTGAGTGGCAAATTCGCAAACTTTAAGCCCACTTGAGGTGGCAAATTCAAACCCTTTTCGCAAAATAAACATGACTTGAAATGTTTCAATTCTTGCGATCTAGTCTATACTTGCTTGTGCACATCACATAGTAATGCTAGTCTAATAACCGGAACAATAACACATAATGTTGATAAAAATCATATTATAATTAGTAGAAGCCAATCTTTGACCGGGCGAGCGGGAGTGCTCAATTCATGACCTTCCCCTCTCGTACCTACGTTCTCGAGCCGAGGCAACTTTGGTGATGATGGACACATGGCCTTTGGCACGAGTCATGGGTTTTCTAAATTTTCCCAAAACAAAAATATTTAGGTGGCAACTCTGTATCTGGCAAAGTAGTCCAGTTCTGGCATTATTTGATCTAAAATCGATTTTCCAAAAAGGTTAGCCGGATTTAGACTCTTTGGTGTTTATCAATTTCACATTGCACTTGTGAGCTTAGATTCAGAACCGCAAGAGTCCTAACTGTAGGGCTTTTTCCAAACTTTCGAAAGGGGGCACGAAAAAGGCGAGCTACAGTCCTGCGGTATTGTTGTCGGTAAAAGTGGAAAAACAGATGATTTTTGGTGCCCACGTCGTGCTGTATAATAGTCTGTAAATGTGGTGGCAGTTTTAAATGAAAGTGACTTGTGTATGTGATTTGGGACTCTCTTTAGGGACTTCATGGTGCATTTACCCCCAGTGTTGAAATGTGATTTTCATGGAAATTATAATATCTAAGTTTTGTTGCTTAAACTCCTAACATAAGTTGAACAAGAAAATGTTTTGGCTGTGATAATGCCATATGAATTTTCAAATAATTAGATACATTGTTAAAATTATTTTTCCTGGGCATCTAACTCATTCATATCTAACAATTTCAGGAATTGATGATGTGCAATCACCCCTATGAGAAAGAGGTGGACTTCTTTGTTTTGTTGGAGCATGAAGGCTTGTAGATGTATTACATGGAATCTTCAAGCGTATATGTTTGGGACCGCATGTCCATTTTGTTGTAACAAGGCCTTGCCTTGATGTTTGCCATCGAGGCATTATTGTTTTTATTCTCTAATTTCTTGAACTATGTAAATGTTATTATTACTAAGACAAGAATATGAAAATTATAATATTTGATATGTAGTTCAATGGAAAAGAGGACTTTCGGGATTAACGTTTTTGTTTGGCTTGGAGAGATTTTGGATTTATCAGATTATGAGAAGTGTATTAATTTAATTAATTTAGGGGCGTTACAATCCTATTGAGCTAAAACTTTGGTCTTTAACATATAGAAGCATTCCAATTCATCATACAATTGAGATGTTTCTATAACTAATTGTTTCTTTCCTCAAGTATAAAATTCTTTATATGCTTAATTTTGAATCAATATATTGGCAAGACATTTATATTACTTGTTACTTATGACTTATTGAAATGCAGGTTTTGCCATTGGTGCTTTGGCTATTTTGGTGAGTTGCTCCTGGTTATACTGGATTTTCAAGAAAAGGAAGGTCATCATGCTTAAAGAAAAATTCTTCAAGAAGAATGGTGGAATAATGTTGAAACAACTCTCTAGACTAAAGAGATCAACTCAGGAATTGATCAAAATAATTAATTCAGAAGAGCTCAAGCAAGCTACCAATAACGATGATGAGAGTAGAATTGTTGGCCGAGGACATTTTGGAATAGTTTACAAGGGAATTCTACCAGAGAACAAGACAGTGGCTATTAAGAAATCCCAAATGATGGATGAAATTCAAATAGAGCAATTCATCAACAAGGTGGTCGTGCTTTCACAGATCAATCATAGAGGTGTGGTCAAACTCTTAGGTTGTTGTTTGGAAACTCAAGTCCCTTTACTTGTTTATGAATTCATCACCAATGGCACTCTCTTTGAGCATATAAATAACCAAAGTAAGGCATCTAATATTTCATGGGACAATTGTTTGCAAATAGTTGCTGAAATTGCTAGAGTATTGTCATATTTGCACTATGCAACATCGATTCCTATCTTCCATAGAGATATTAAGTCTACAAATATACTCTAGACGATAATTACGCTGTAAAAGTGTCAGACTTTGGAGCATCAAGGTTTGTTCCACTAGACCAAAATCAAGTAGCCACAGTGGTACAAACAACTCTTGGATACTTAAGACCCTAAATACATGGTCACAAGCTAGTTGACCGTGAAAAGTGATGTTTATAGCTTCAGAGTACTCCTTGTGGAGTTAATCACCAAAAAAAAGGCGTTGTCATTTGATAGGCCAAAAAAGGAGAGATGCCTAGCTATGTATTTTGTTTCTTGTATGAACAATGATTATTTGAACCAAATCATTGATGAACACATGGTAGTCGAAAGAAACAATGAGGAGCTCAAAAAAGTTACTAATCTTGCAAAGAGATGCTTGAGAGTAAAAGGGGAGGAAAGGCCTTATATGAATGAAGTAGCAATGGAACTGGAGGGGTTGATCAGGAAAAAGACATCTGGAAATGATTTGAATTCTGTAGAGATTGAGTACTTGCTTGGTAAGGCACCAACTGGATATGTAGTTGGAGGTTATAAAAGCAACACAACAATAGCTCGGGTTGATAGCATGGCAGAAGATATGCTATTGCATGGTGGGAGGTGATTTGATTGTTTTGTGCTTATCCATGATGGTAAAACTTCATTGATGGATTGTTACACCTGTATACAAGTGATTACTTCTTTTAAATTTCTTGTACTTTCTTATGTAAAAATTTGTTAGTGACTCGCTCACTTTTCATTAATCTTGTCCGTTCATATCAATTTGTATCATGTTTTTATTTCTAAACTTATCAAACTATATATAAACAAATAAAATTTACAGAATTTGTTAGTGGGACTCATTTATGAAATTCTTGTCCATCCATATGAATTCAATGTCATGACGAAGTACCTCCACAATGATGATTTGGAGTAACAAGTCGTTCAATTTGGGAGTGAAAGCTCAAGAACATTTGTTATTCAAGATTTGAAGTTTTGTGTTAAGACTTGTAAATTTATTTTGTTGTATAGGCAATGCCTTGTTGTCTCGTATGCCTTTAGTGCTTATTTCTTTTGTAATGTCATCTAGTTCATTGAATTTGGAGATGAGTTTAAAGTATCTTGGAAAAATGTAAACTTTGAAATTGTAATTTCTTGGATCTTAGTTCATTGAGAAAGATGGTTGTTCTATATATTGCTAGGCTTGTTGTGGTGTATCTTGGTATAAAATTACAGGGCGTTACAAATTGGTATCAGAGCTCCTAGGTTTGAACAACTTAGGCTCGTAGGAAATGACATTTGTCACAATAGGGTTCCTATTATGTGCTTTGTGTATTTATGTGGCTATGTGGGTATAGGGTTAAACTTCTATGATATAGCTATTGTCCATTGCATCCATCGAGATCCTTTTGGAAAGGCAACTGATCAATGCTCTTTCCACTTGGAGGTCCTTGATGTCCATGGAAATAGCTAGTATCCCATGAGGGTGACTCGTGTGTGGTTCTTATAATTGTTTGACTATGTGGATTGTTTTATGTGAAAGTAGGTACTTGTGTAAACCCTTGTTGGGATTTTGTGTAAAGTACGAAGATCATGAGTGGGGCACTTAGATGCGGAAAGTTGATCTTGAACTTAATATTGTCTCTATTTATTATAGGATGTCTGGGCATGTCAGAGGTCGAGGTAAACCTCGTAAGGGAGGCTAGAATGTTCTAGCCCAACTCAAGATCTCTTTGCAAGAAGAATGAGCGGGTCAAAACAACATACCCACCCAACTCTTCGGCAGTCTATGGAGATACTTAGAGTTGAGCAAGCGACTAGAACAGTTCAAGGGAAAACTAGAGCTTCCTTTTTGAAAAAGGAGTTTTTCGTTCTAACCCTACCGAGTTTAGTGGTGGGCCCGATCCAATGACAATTGATGAGTGGCTAGAACAAATTGTCAAGTCTTTTGAGATTTTAGACATCCGAGAGGATGAATTACGGGTAGCATTAGCAGCCTGTCAGTTGAAAGGAGAGGCTGGAGAATGGTGGAAATATGTCAAAAACAGAGTGGAGCACACATAGGAGGCATTGGTACATGCCTTCCAAGAGAATTTTCTCCCTCCCACTACTAGGGAGAGGTTTTGGAAACAGTTTGAGGAGTTTTTACAACTCGATACGCCTGTGGCTGAGTTTGAAGCCACATTCACTAGTCTATCTCATTTTGTACTAGAGTTAGTCGCAACGGAAGGATGCCGATGTTTAGAATTTGAAAAGAGGCTAGGCTAAAGATTTTAATGAAGGTTGTAGGAAATATGATTCATGATTATGATCAGCTAGTAGAGGTTGCAGAGCATGTTGAGATCATGGTGGAGGCGAAGGAGGCAAGACAGAAGTTGAAAAGACCGGGATATTCTAACTCTAGGGGCAACATGGGCCCTCAAAAAGGTCTAAGGGTTCGTCATCATCATTTCAATCACCCCCACAGCAAGCCAAATCTTACGATTCTATGATAGATGGAAGTTCGGGGAGTATGGGTCGAATCCATGGTGCTTGCTATAGATATGGCCAATTGGGTCACAAAGCTTCTGAGTGTGGAGAGAAGGGTGGATCATAGACGCAACCTACGCATCCGCAAAGCCAATCCCAAAATAGGGGCCAATCACCGTTTTGTTATCAGTGCAGTCAACTGGAACATTTGAAGAAGTGTTGCCCACAAAGAGCAGAGACTACTAGTGTGCAGAATCTCAACAATCTGGAGGTTTTCAGATGGGCCAAAGACAAAAACAGTCTTACTAACGCACTTAATCAGGCCAGTACAGAGGGCTACATAGGTACCATCGGTGCTGCAAACTTATGTTCATAGAGGTGAATTGGGAGAGCAGAGGCCACAGGGAAGAGTGTATGTCATCGCTGCTTCGGAGCAGACTTCTGGTCGTCAATTGTGAGAGGTACATTTCTTATTTTCAATACCTGGGCGAGTGTGTTGATTGACACTGGGCTTTCTCAATCATTTATAGCCACTTCATTTGCATCGTTGTTGGGGTTGGAAAGTAAACAATTAAAATCCTCACTTACTATAGAGTCACCCATTGAGGGTAAAGTCATTCTGACCCAAGGATGTCAGGGGTGTGTAATTGAGGTTGCGGGCCGACAACTGCCATTTAATTTTGTATTGTCAGAAATGTCGGGTTTTGTTGTTATTCTCGGCATGGACTAGCTGTCCACTTACCGGGCTATTATAGATTGTTATTATGGGAGAGTTACAGTATGCACGTCGGGTGGTGATTGTTTCACATTTCTAGGAGACAAGAACGATAAATTCTTACTCTCATCGTACTATCCACTTATCCACTTGGCCGAGGTGAATTAAGTTCTCTTTTAGCAGCATTTTTAGATGACGGAAGTGGTACAGTCGGGGATGGGTTTCCAAGGGTAGTATGTGAGTATCTTGACGTCTTTCCTGAAGATCTCACTAAATTACCTCCTCACCGAGAAGTTGAGTTCACTATAGACTTAATACCGGGTACGGCACCTATCTCCTTGTCGCCATATAGGTTTGCTCCAGCTGAATTGGTTGTTCTAAAGGAACAATTACAGGAGTTGCTAAGGGCTTCATACGCCCAAGCACCTCACCTTAGAGAGCCTCAGCCTTGTTTGCAAAGAAGAAGGACAGGTCACTAAGATTGTGAATTGATTATCGTAAAATAAATCAAGTTACAGTTAAGAATAAATATCCCTTGCCCCGAATAGATGACCTTCTTGATCAACTTAAAGGTTCGTGTTGTTTTTCAAAGATAGATTTAAGGTCGGGTTATCACCAAATCCAAGTTAGGGAGGAGGATATCCCCAAGACTACTTTTCGTATCCGATATGGTCATTACAAGTTCTTGGTTATGCCATTCAGTTTAACTAATGCGCCAGCTACTTTCATGGATCTTCTAAATCGAATTTTCTGAGATTTTCTTGACAAATTTATGGTTGTCTTTGTAGACGATATTCTAATCTATTCGCCTTCCAAAGTAGAGCATGAAAGACATCTTCGTATTGTCTTACAACTTTTTAGAGAACATCGTTTCTATGTGAAGTACAAAAATTGTGAGTTTTGGTTTCTAAAAGTGAAGTTTTTGGGTCATGTAGTCTCCGGAGATGGAGTTATAGTGGATTCTTCAAAGATAGAGGCTGTGCAGAATTGGGAACAACCTAAAAACGCTTTCGAGATTCGTAGTTTCCTAGGTTTAGCCGGTTATTACTGCCGGTTTGTGAGGAACTTTTTTTCAATCGCTTCACCTTTGACCAGATTAACTCACAAGGAAGTGAAATTCATTTGGAGTGAAGCTTATAAGAAATCTTTCCGAGAACTAAAGCTCAGATTGACTATTGCTCCTATTCTTATTATTCTAGAATGTGGCTTAGGGTATATTTTATATTATGATGCCTCTAAGGAAGGGTTATGATGTGTTTTGATGCACGAAGGCAAAGTAGTAGCGTATGGTTCGCGGCAATTAAAGCCTCACAAGGGAAACTACCAGACGCACAATTCAGAGCTTGACGCCGTTGTTTTTAACTTAAAATTGTGGAGACATTATTTGTAGGGAGAGAAATTTGAAGTATTCTCTGATCACAAGAGCCTTAAGTACCTATTCTCCCAAAAAGATTTGAACTTGCGTCAACGGAGATGGATGGAGTTCTTGGAAGACTATGACTTTGAAATACACTACCACCCCGGGTAAGGCCAATGTTGTAGCGGATGCCTTGCGTAGAAAATCCATAAGTACTCTAGCCGGCTTAGCTATGAGGGAATGGAAGATGATGAGGGACGTAAGTGAATTTGACTTGCAACTTCGCGAATCCTCGAAACAAGCCACCCTGTTTACCACCGTTACACAACCCACCCTTATTACGAAAGTAGTGGAAGCACAATTGTGTGATTCGAAAGTGAATAAAATTAGGGAGAGAATTTCCCAAGGGAAAGAAAAGAGGGGCCTGAACATTTATTCAGACTCTAGTGTTTGTTACCTTAACCGGTTGTTTGTGCCTACATCAATGAGGGATGAAGTTTTA